AAAGACATCAAGGATGCTAAAATATATATATATATCTATAATATTTATATATATATCAATGACATTTATAATCTACCCCATTGCCATGGCTTATAATTAAATATATAATCCAAATGTCTGAAGTTGGGTCACCGTCGCAATAAATTTGTTTGAAGACATTGGGTACAGAAATGTGTCTATAATATGTCTGTTTGCTGTTATATGCTTACAAATTGTTCTAAACATGCACCTTGTACCATATTAATAATAAACTTTTTTTAAGAAGGAAATGCTTGTTTGAGACTGATGCCTGTTACAGATCATCAGGCCCCCACCACTTCGGATCTCTTTAAACGAAGTGCAAATTTATGCGTAATAAACAACTATTGTTATACATAACAGGTTGCAATTAACAAAATAATTATATATAAGGAAACCACATGGAGTATGTGTATGTGTGTGAGTGTGTGTATGTTTGTGTTTGTCTGTGTATGTAATAATGAATGTGCGTAATTTTTTTGTCACAATCATATTTCTGCCATGAATAAAGTTTTTATGATTATCATACCATGAAAACTCATATATTTATTTCCTAAAAAATGTCTAAGCTTACGAATGTTGTCGTTTATATTGTTTTATAATATATGATTTAATCCAGCGTACTCTAAACAATCCGACGCAAAAGCCCGTGAAATAAAAGGAATGAATTAGCAAGCAGCGTAGGCGCACAATAGGTACTGAATCAAACCGTATAGTTGCAGGTAAAAATGTCAACTTTACAATATATCTTTACAAGGTTGCCACCTCTCAATATTTAGTTAAATTTGCAAGTTGGGTTTAATATTATCTATATTAGATAGATAACACAAAGAAAACACACAGATTATATAAAGGAACAATAGTGTTTTAAACAACAAGAGAGCTGGTGCGGCTTGTGATACGGCTGAAAAAGCTAAAGCCTGCTAATACAGAGGACTAGGCTCTGATTTTGTCCCATTCAGTGTCGAGACCCTTGGTCCGTGGGGTCCTAGCGCTATAAGGCTTTTGTTAGACGACATCATAGGAGACCGAAGAGCTGGCAGCTACCTCGGACAAAGAATTAGTCACCGATCTCGGCAGAGAGATGAGTATACGCAGTATGCGTTCTGTCCCACTCTAACGCACCTGCGCTACGTCACCGATCACGCCAGACCGATGTGAGACGCAGTATGCGTTCTGTCCCGCTCTAACGCGTATTGGCTGCATCTATATTACGTCATCGTGTGTTAGGGAATTTCTTGATTCGGTCGCGGCGCTCAAAGCCCGCGATAAAATCTATGCAATAGCTTAAAAATAAATTACTATGAGTATGCAACAGTTTTTTTAGATTTTATTTACACTTTCAAGGGCTAACGACGTGCAGGGCTGATGCGTACCAGGCGATGGTTACCGTACTAAGCATGCTCTGATTCATCACTATTTTCTTATTTCTCGGAGGGTTCGCTAGCACTTGATCTATACGTAGTGTAAGAATTAAGCTAAAATATATATTTTTTTTTGTTTAAAGTAACTTGATTTGTACAATTTTGCCAATTGTGGCTTACAGTATTTAGGATAAATAAAATAGTTACAATTCATATGAAGAAGTGACAACCCAGAATGCGTAGGCGCAGTCGATGCTACATGAATGAGAAGCTTTACAATTGCCTTAGTTATTAAAATTAAAATCGGTATGAAATATATTTGCTTCAAATGGCTGTACAATGTACATTTTGTGTATTTATTCCACTTCAAACCATTTTTGTAACTCAAAACTTGGCGATTAAAATGAGTGGTGGAGAGTTTCTTGCCAGTTCTTCTTGCCCGCTCTACACCCTTGATTTGAGAACTGGTAGTCTATGTAAATTTAAAATCAATTTAACATCTTTTCTGTTGAAGTTCATAAGTGTACTTGGTTACCTTTATGAATAAAGTTATTTTGAGTTTGAGTTGAGTTTGTACTAAATTACACCAGTTTAATTTAGATTTTGTTTTGACAGTGAAACACATATACATATATATTTATTTATTGAATAATAGTTATTATAACAAGAAGCCTCTACATTCTAGTAAAATATGCATTTAGCATTACGTCCATTCATTAGATTTTGATTGGGTGCCTCGACAGGAAAAATTGCGCCTCCCTGGTCCATTTGTCCATTGAGAGTCCCATGATGGGATTCCTTCACAGCAACAATCATTGTTTTGCTAGCTTCATCCGGTGTTGCATGAGCTACAGAAACAATTAATGAAAAGTTATAAAGGCGTTTTGTGTAAAATATTCGAGTTCAATACCTAAAGATTCTTAATCCAGGCTTAGGTTTATCATAATAATAACGTAATAAATATATTATTAAAAAAAAAATCAAGAACACTAAAACTTTAAGAAGATTGGTCCCTGTGATAACTTTGGAACTCAACGTGAATGCAAGCAGACAGATAGCAAGTACATGAGGTTTTAAGAAGTACATTGTTGGGATGATTCTTAATCAGTATGATTTTTAGACTTATCATAATATGTGATTATATACTGAATACAGAAAAATAAGGGTGCGTGTACTTATGTACGCGCTTAAGAAGTTATACTCCTTTGGCATTATTAAAAATAGTTTTTGATTGCATGCAAATAATTAATTACAATTAAATAATCAAAGACTGGAAAAGGAGTCATTATAGTCAATAGAGTTTAGTTTACATTTGAAAAATTAAATAAATAAATATTTATTATTATTCTCTTACATTAAGTGTTACATAAATTCTGTTATTATTCTAATGTTGTTTTTAAATTATGTCCAATGCCGTAGCATCTTCCGTGGGCAACTTCATTCTGTTAATTTTGTGTCACGGTGTGCGCGCATCGTAAAATTTCGCTCTCATCAATTTTTCATAACGCGCCTAAAGAAGTATAACTTCAAAAAACTTTCGTTCACTCTGCCTTAGGTAATTATGATAATAAATAAAGACTAATAAAACCACGCTTTCGGATATTTTCAGTATCTCCTATGAAGCTGAAAAAGATGTATGAAATTGTGTTTTGCTTCAGTGTGATGCTTAAATCAGGTTCCATAATAAAATATTAAGATATTTTGATCTTCACAGATCATTAAAATTGACACATAATTATATTATTATCATTACCAGGTTTTTGTAAAAACAATTTTAGTGGACTTTACGACTAACGTTACATTCCAATAAAAATATAGTTTTTGTGTCATATCCTGTGAACGAGAAACTATATTTCTTTGACAGATCATGTGGTAGGATGCTAATCAGTTTTTAAAACCTTGGTAAACCGTTTGGTTGAAAGGTTTATCTAAATAAATTAGGGGCTCCCTTATTTTTCAGACGCCATTGAATGTCTAATAATCTAGTGACTCCAAAGTAAATTCCTTTAATTCGAAGCCATGAAACACATGCAGAAATCTGAGGCCCAGAGTTAAAATGGTTTTAGCGCCACTGATTTTTTATTTATATACTAATTAATACATGTAAGCTTAGCTATTTGAATAATAATGTAATGATTAGATGAAATAAATTAAATTTCTGTATAAAATATATAACAAAAAATATTAATACTACGCGATATAATTACGGATAAAATAATATAATCTTTATTTGCCTTGAGATTTTTTCAAACGCTTTTATAATTGTGCATTGACATATATTGTTTATTTTGTATTTTTTTTATGGCTTTAACACGTTCACTGCGTAACAGGCCGATATCAGCCTGCCGCGGTATTTCAGCTGGTGCGGACGAAGAAATCTATGTCCCTCTCGCTGGTGCGTAACGATTATCTCAGGTGTTTGTAAAAATTCGACAGGGACAAATATATATTTCATCTTGCGGTCAAAATTGTAGGTTTTCCCCATCAAAACATAACGCAGGCTTTTACTCGACCCCTACCACGCACCTGACGCTGCTGTGCATCCGCTGAGTGCGGCAGTGGGCCTATTTCAGCCCGCCCTCCCAACAGGCAGCTGGCGACCCGATACCGCACTGAGCGCGCGCCCGGCTAGTTAGTGTTGTGCTATCTAACTGATCTAACGTAGCGTTCGATATAATCAACGATGGCAAGCAATACAAGAAAAATACAAATTTAGGAAAATAGAGTAATTCGCCTTGCAGTTATTGACAGTGATAGTGACAGCAGTGAAGAAATATTTTCCACTAAGAAAAATAAAAAGTATTTCTGTTTCCAAGACAGGCATACATAAGTAAATAAATACATGTTTCAGTTCCTTTACGATAATTCTGTTTTATTTTCGATATTTCTCTACTAAAAATATATTCTAGTGTGGTTCAGGTCGATATCGGCCTGCCGCTTTTCCTGCTTTATTTCTCATTTCCTGTTTGCCAGATCCCGGGGCGAATCAAACCTAAGGAAGTTGGGTTCAAGGTCATTCTAACAATATAAAAAAAATGTATACATTATGTTTCCACAAAGTTATGGCAATTCAATCTATCCTAGTGCTGTTGGGTCTAGAAAGACCTGCCACGCACCGGCGGAAATATCATTGGGGGCGCATTTGGCCCGCGTGGCCCGCCGCGGCACCTGATGAAAAATTATGATTTTACTTGCCGCAGTGAACGTGTTAATTTGTGCCAACTGGGCACGAGGTACTTCGCCAGTGTCGTGTAGATGGAGAAGGCACGTTAATTTGTATTATATATGTCGAAGCAATACTTGCTGCCACTGTCATTATGTCACAGAGCATATAAATTAATTACGTCAAAGTCAAATAAGATTAAAATACGTGGTCAGAAGATGGTGCAGAAGGAACCAGGATTTTTTTGGGATTAAGACATGCCAGTTTTATTACGATGCTATCTATGATTCTTAGATGCAATGTTAATTGAATAAATAAGTGCACGTTTAATCACTACATCGGACGATTAAAAGAAATCACAAAATACATTTTTACGTATTTTATTTCATAAACACGTTGTTTCCCCAAAATTAACTGAAAAACAAATCCAATGGTTACTTTGACATTGATGGAGATTATGGGCAGAATATGCACTTGGCTTTACGATCTTCCACATTTTGGTTGTTAGCGGGTGGCTCGACATGAGATGCCATTCCCTGGTCTACTTGTGCATTCATAGCTCCATCAAGAGGTTCCTCTAAAGCAACGGTCATTGTTTTACCAGCTTCATCGGGAGTTGGATGTCCTGTAAGAATATAACTCGTAAAAAACACTTTATTAAATTCAATGCCATTTGCTTCAGTTTTTTTTTATTTACTATACACTAAATGACCATAGTGAAACATTTACCACTGTCCAAAGGACACCAGGGCACCAAAAACCATGACCCAGAGGACGCCACAGGAGAAATGGCAAAGAGGCAAACACAGAATGAGATGGATAGATCGAAGAGAACTAGAGTAATGGGAATGATTACGAACTGGAAGAAAGTCGCCAATCCTCGTCCAATATTGCCAGAATCCCACTATAATTGAAACGAATGCAATGAACCAACGCCACGATGATGGTAGGTATTTTATTTATTTATTTAATTATAAGTAATTTTACAGCTAGCATACATAATATTATAAAACAAACACTTAGTCAGTACAGAAAGCCAAGACAGATTACATAGATAAACAATATATACGAAACAGAAATCAAATAAGTACATTAATAGACAAAACTATTTAAAGAAAACTAAAATTTAACATTTAAAACAACAAAAAATACTTAATATTTCAAATCACTACCTAAACAAAATCAGAGTCTACCCGCCTTTTCAAATACTTCTTTGGTGAGGTGGAAAATACCAATATCCTCATAACTAGTGTCATAGTTAGATAAAACCCGAAACATTGGCGAATTATGCAGGTAATTCGAGTTCGTACTAGGCACATGGAACAATTTTGTGTGTCTTGTCGCATACGGAGGAGGAATTTTAAAAGAAATTTACGACAGCAAATATAAAGAATAAAAGAATAGCGTGTAAAAAAAGCAAGTCTTGCTGACTTCGACGATTTTAGATACTTTAAAGAAATTACAATAAAGATCCATTTAGAAACAGTATACTGTGTAGTAGTGACGTAGCCTTAAGAAGAGCATTCAAATAATACAAACTAAAATAAAATAAATTTACTAAAAGGAACTCACCTTCCACGTAGCAGACTGCTACAAGCAGACAGATAGCAAGTACTTGAGGTTTTAAGAAATACATTGTTGAGCTGATTCTTGATTCAGTATGATTTTAACTCTAATCATATGTGCTTATATATTTGAAACTGAAAATAAACTCGCGTTCACAATGATGTGAATATTAGTTACAGTTAATTAAATCAAGATAAATTGTGTCCACTCGCATAAGCAGCAAGCGATATTTATTTGGGGTGGGAAGTTGGGGATAGTGTTGGAGGGAATCGCTGATGGAGTGAGGTCAGCATTGCTTAGAAAAAACCAATAAACCATCTGCTGTGTTATGTAGTCACAGTGCAATCTTGCATCCTCATATTTTTTGGACTCGTATCACAACGTGGTGATTAGTCCATAGACTTGTCGTCCAAGGGAAGGCACTAGACCGCGCGGAAGGTCACATACGCATTGGACTGACCAGATCAAGTCTGCTGTAGGAGGTTCACTCAATGAGTGCAGCAGGATGACCTCTGCCTGCATCACATCTGCCCTTTCTAATATTACTACATAGCAATCACGACCGCTCTGTCAGGAGTGTACCGGATAAAAAGAAAAAGAGTTTTATGTAATGTAAGCAGAAGCTCGGCCAGTCCAAGTCATTCTCGTCCTAGTCGTCCACACTGGGACCTGCTGCAGCCACGCTCTCGCGTGCCCTAGTGGGCACAGTAGGTAGTCCTAGAGCTGCAGATTCTACTCACGAGAGATTCTACTCGGGAGGTAACCGAGCTAGTCTGGTATATATAAGCTGCTGTATAATAAGTGTTAATTTAGATAAAGAAATCTCTCTATATAAAGCAAAATTATAATAATAATATAGCCTTTATATTCCTAAACTTTGTGATCAGTGTCATCATATATCTTTAATATATTTTCACTACACTATATCTCGGAGTTCGGTGTGCCTCCTCTAACTCTTTCCAATGTTCTCTCCTATCTTTTGCGAGTCTCAAGTGTAGCCTGTTAATTAAAGTTCGTCCTCCCATCTTTTGCGTCTCGGCCTTCTCCTCCTTTTCCCTTTGCGTCAATATTTTTCTCCATTTTTCAAGACAAAACAAATATGGAAAAGCCACATTCTTAAACAACCTAATCAAAAGCAAAATTAACCTTGTTCAAATTCGATATCTCTATGTGCAAACACCTCAATGATTTTTCCTGATATTTTTGTGTTTTCAGGTCATTAATTTAAGATATAATTTTAATTAATCTACGTTAGTTCTTTTTGTATGCGTTTTTGGTCATTATACGATTTTACGATTCCTTGTGTTTGAATTTGAATATTGCATTTAAACCTCTTATTTGAAGGCAGGTTAAATAGTGTTCAGGATCGTCTTAAGTCCCTTAAAGGGTTACCTTAAGTCCAGACCATACTTTATCTTCCAATGTATCAGCAATATCGACCTGACGTTTTTGTATGTAAGGTCGATGTTCTCTTAACATCAGTAACGCTCATATCACCTTCGGATTGTAGCTAAATCTCATTATTATTTTTTATGTTACAGGGGGCAAACGGGCAGGAGATCACCTGTTTAAGTGATACGCCACCCATGTAGACTCACATTGCCAGAAGGCTCGCAAGTGCGTTGCAGGCCTTTTAAGAACTGGTACGCTCTTTTCTTGAAGAAATTCGAATTGGTTCGGAAATACTTTAGTGGGCAGCTAGTTCCACATAGTCGTGGTATGTATGTGTGCATCAGGATCGCTGTCAGTAGCTCTATTGGAAGTTTCAGAGTAAAGGGTCTGACTTGAAAAAATATTGAAATTAAATATAAATTTTATTTATTTGTTTACAAATATTAATTATTATGTATGCATCAACCCGTAACAATACCAAATTTTTTTATATATTGAACTCGGCCTAGAACGTATTGATACATACATTCTAAGCCTACACTACTTTCTTTGGTAGCTTCCCTCACTGCTTGCCTTAGAAATGCGACTGTGCCAGCTATGTACGATTTAAGCACTCGCCTGGTACAGCACAACCCTACCAAAGGCCGAGAACAAAATTAAATTAAAACTTGCCCTCGAACCGGGAACCGAAAATTAAACCCACTTTAGAACCTAGCTATCAGGCCTTAATATATTGAACGCTTTAATTCTTAGGGTGCATCCACATCTGGCAAATGTGCAGCCGCGAGCCGTGCGAGCTGCGCCGTCACGCATTTGCAACCACTTTAGCAAGACTGCAAGCGCTATCTGCCCTATTCTGTAACTCACTATTGAACCCGCTTGGCATCCGGCTGGTGCGCTTTTATGATTTGGCTCAAGCCCCAACTTTTCATGCCAACTCATGCAAGGCTCGTAAAAGGATCTGAACGCACTCAGTTCTCGCGCTAACAGTTGAGTTAATTACGACGTTTAATATAATAGGATGATAATTGATGGCCATTCATTATTGGAGCCGGTTTGTTTGCTTATATACAGAACAGATCATTCATATATATATAGTGTAATAGATATATAAAAAAATATGAAATCGTAATTTCTATCCCTTAAATAACAGGAAAAAAGATCGTAACAATTTACTATACTGCCTGATGAACAGTGAATCAATTTGACAATTTCTTAATTCATGATTATGATTATCTGATCGGATCCTGGAGTACCTACGAAGGTTTACTTTTACTTTATAGGTACAGTTGAAAACAAATAACTTGGCGATTAAAAAGAGTGGCGGAGAGTTTATTGCCAGTTCTTGACTGTTCTACGCCCTTGATTTGAGAACTGGCAGTAATTGTAAAATTAGATGCATTTAATATGTATTTCTTTATTGACGTTCATAAGTGTACATTGTGTTACCTAAATGAATAAATGAATTTGAATTAGAATTTTTACATTATTGTAATTGGTTTAAACAATATATTTATTTATTTATTAACAGAATCACATAGATTATCCTCACAGTTCTAATCAATACGATAATGTCGAGAAAAATAATTATATAGTATATAATATTAAACACATAATATACACAATATCGCTACAATATATATATATATATGTTATACGTCCTAAGTACACCTAAATTTCGATATCTCATGCTTCCGGTGGCATTTTCGTTGTGCCTTCATCCATGTCAGTTCCAGATGAGGTGTCTGTATATATGGAAGATTCTGTTCCAACAGGTTCCTCATTAGTCGGTGTACCAGTCATATCAGAACACCCAGGACAGTCAGTTGTTGTATATTGAGCTCCTAAAATTTCATCAATGTGAAAATGTTTTTATTACTGAAATTTCTATTGAAGACGATAATATATCTCACCGATTTAAATACATAAATTATGTTGTGCATTTGATAAACATAAATTAATGAAACATTACAATTTATAGAAAAGACATTTGAATAATAAAATGCGGCCATGGTTATACTATTATAATAATTATTATAATCAATATACGTATATAGGGACAATATTTACGAGAACCCAATATCACAAAACTGGTGTAAAGAGCCTCTGACGCAATACACCAAGTGGTTGAGCAACACTCGAGGGTTGAAACTCAGCAGTAACCAAAAGATCGGTAAAGGAGGCATACAAAAATAAAAGAACGGGTCTCGCAAGCAATTGCCCCGGCCCCATTATTATTGTCAATAATATTACCGATGTAGCCGGGGCGTATCTCGCGAGACGCGTAACACGATTAAGTATGTTATGTTATGTATCTTTTCAGTTAAAAAAAAAAACAAATAATTTATGGAAAAAGTCCCTGTCAGGAGGGGAGTAGATCGAAAAAAAAACCAAAAGAACGGACTATAAATCACTTGACATTGGCAATATAAAATAAATCAGTGGCGATACAACCTCTTTTAGGTCTTGGCCTCAGATTTCTGAATCTGTTTCATGATCATTTTTTAACTCTAATAGGCAAGTAGGTGATCAGCCTCCAGTGCCTGACACACACCGTCGACTTTTTGGGTCTAAGACATGTCGGTTTCCTCTCGATGTTTTTCTTCACCGTTCGAGGAAATGTACGTCCTCAGGTATGAGAGTTGCTAACACTGCTCAACAACTGGCAACTGGCCAATATTGGTAATATGTCTGTTAAAAAAAATAAAAAAAATATACCTATTACAATCCACAGCAGAAGCAGCACGAACGGTATGATAACAGGCTTCATCCTATTTCTTCCAAACATGTTCATGTAACAAGAAATCGAGGATTAATTTACGTTTTATATTCTTCATTTATCAGCTAATTAGCATTTTAATAGTGATGTCTTAGGGTTTGGTTAAGTGGCTGATTTCAGTGTCACTACTAATTAAATTTTAATTATTAAAATTTTATTAAAAATTATTTGGGATGCAACGGGCGAGCTTATCGCTAACAAGCAATCTCTTCCAGGCAACCATAGTAAGGAAAACGAAATACTAAGGGTTGGTTTTATTGCACTTCTTGCATAACCAAATCAATAAAAAGAAAAATTATACAATTGTGGAAGTCCCACAATTGTATAATTTTTCTTTTTATTGATCATCTAATAAAATTTTTTAATAAAATAAAAATACAAGAAGATTAGAAAGAAGAAGAAGAGAACCGGAAAATTAGGTTCCGTCTATGAATTACAATGCAATACAAAATAATAAGAAAATACATTAATTACAAAAGTCGATTCAGCAGGATAGGATATGGTTAAGAAATGGTTATGGTAATGGTTTTTTCTGAGTTTCATCATCGGACGTCGAGACAGAATACGAAATTCCACCCGTATCACCTCGACGTCCGCCGTTCCACAACTGAGCGTTTTTCAAGGCAGTTTTTGCCGCGCACCACCACTATGTGGAATCAGCTGCCCACTGAAGTATTTCCGAACCAATTCGACTTCGAGGGTCCTTCAAGAAAAGAGCGTACCAATTCTTAAAAGGCCGGCAACGCACTCGCGAGCCCTCTGGCATTGAGAGTGCCCATGGGCGGCGGTATCACTTAACATCAGGTGAGCCTCCTGCCCGTTTGCCCCCCGTTCTATAAAAAAAAATAAAAAAATGTAGGAAGAATGAAGATATATTTTAAAATAGGTTAGAAAAGTATTCCACAACTTATAACTTAATTTTGTAATTAAGGTACATGGGGATATTTTTGCCTCTAAATCTTTGTGTATACGATAGTATATACATATATCTAAACGTAAGACTGAAGATTTTGTTTGATGGCGCTAATCTCTGGTATTACTAGTTCAAAATAAAGAATGCTTTTTGTGTTAGATGGTAAACTATAGGCTAAATTTGCTTTCAAAACATCAAAATCGGTCAACAGGCAGCAAATATTCGTGAAAGGATACAGCAAAGGTATAATTGTAAGTGATCTTCGCTTTAAGTTGGTGAAAAATTGCTGTTTTATTTTAATTACGTATGTAATTTAAATAATCGATACAGAAATAACAATTAAAATACAAATTTCTTTCTATTTCAATTAATGTTAATGTTCTAACCTCGTTTTGTTAATCGATTTTTACACATATTCATTTTTAATTAAATTTTTCATTTCTGAAATAGGTTCTTGCAAACGAATTACAAAATAGATATTACAGTACAGATAAAAATGAGTAAAAATTAGTTTAATTTATTTTCTTTAGAAAATTATAATAGGATTAAGTTTATTTTGATTTTGCATTACATATAAAAAACCTTCCATTAGGGGGTTTCATTAAAATCGAAAACTTACGAGACGTCGAGAGAACAAATCGTTAGAAACAAACAACTCAATGCTCTCCTAATGAAATTGCCCTCTTTATTTTTCGACATTATTTATACGATGTTTTTGCCGAACTTTCAAATACAATCAAAACTTCGAGCTGTCGCTTCAATCAAACTTTTTAAATGCCCTCCTACCTTAACGAGAAACGATATCTCTGCGCTATGTATTTTTATTATCACTTGTAATTTGAATTTAATCTGTCTACAGTCTGTACCATTCCCAACGGGAGACACACGCCCCACAGGGGCCAATTCGATTGTTTGAATTGAAATTATTTGAAATTTAACATAACTATCAAATATACAGTATTTACAATATTCCTTACCTACATAGTATAAATAATTAAAAAAAATTAAAAATTAATAAAACGAAAATTAAAACAATTTTAAATAGTTTGGTCCCTGTGGCAGTGAATCTTTACCGGTAGCAGTTATTCGCTGTATTTGCTTTGGAGTCTATAATTCTCGTGCAACAATGTTCGTTTGCCATACTCCTCCGAAACGGCTCGACCGTGCGTTACCGGCATTTAAGAATTGCTGTTTTCTGTTTCGAATCGGTTCGGAAATATCAATAGGTAGCTGGTCCCATAGTAATGGTGAACGCAATGACATCGAGGTGATAGATATTTAATTTCAAATACTGCCTCGAAAGTACTTAGATGATGAAACTCAGCTGCATGCATATAAGTAAATGCGGAAAATGCAGGCGATCAACCTCGCAATAACTTTCCTCATCACTATAAAGAAACCATAACTCAATTAAAAGGGAAAGTATGCAGAAAATCCCATTAAAAGTTATAATTGGCATCTTAAATCAGCCAAAAGTATCATTGACATGCCCGTATATGGAGACGTCGTGTATTATTGGGTTTCGACGTTAAATCCGCCATAAATGTTATTCCGCCATTTTTCCGAATTCGATAAACAAATTGCTGTTGTAATCGGAATTGCATTCGGGTAATAATCGTCAGTTTTTAAGTTAAATGGAATTTTTTGGTTTGGTTCACGTAATAAGTGGTTAGCGATGGAGTTTGAGCTCCCAAAGCGTGGCGCTAACAAATTCTTGCGTCTGATTTTTTAAAGCAAATACTATGAGTTTTCTAGGTCTGTCACAGTTCGCTGATTCCCGGCAAAAGTTCGGAAATGCGGAGATGACTCAACCAGCAGCTTAACACTGCTCGTATGGATAATTCAACTGATGCATAACTATTGTTTTAATTTAATGAATGTTAAGGCCGTTTGTCTACCGCCGTCGTCACCGGGACGTCACTGAGAACGAGATTTTTTCAACTACTCGAACATCGGCGGCTGGGATGACGGCGCTCGGGTGACGGGCGTGGAACCATGGCCATATTAAATTTTAAATTAAATATGGTACTTAACTCGGCGTAATTAAATCGGCGCCGTCATCTCGTTTTCGGTGACGGCGGCGGTGGACAAACGGCCTTAGGGTTAACAAGCACTGTTATATGAGATATGAATGGATTTTGTCACAGAGGGTAGAGGCAGGAGGCTCATCTGATGATGAGTGATACCACCGCTTGTGGACACTCACACTGTTTTAAGAATTGCTTTTTAAGTCGAATTGGTTAAAATTGCATACATAGCTGGTTCCATATAGAGTGGAGCGCGCAAAAGACTGCCTTAAAATCACTCAATAATAGAACGATGAACGTCAAAGTGATATGGAAGGAATCTCCTATTCTACCTCGACAATGGATCTGGATTATCTTTATAAATTTAAAAAAATAAATCGAAACGCTGTTCCCTTATCACTTGTACTACACGTTAATATAATGTCCACTTTGAATTATAATAATTGTTTATTGTAATGTATGTCTTCTTCAGTTAACGTCTGGGTGTCCTCATTATTCGATTCCTCAAGACACGATACCCGCTGCGATGTTCAAAAACACATGTTTATGGTGACGACGCGACCTCTTTTTAACCTTTTCAATTTACACCTACAATGCATATTATATTAGATATAAATAAAATAAAAATCATTTGATTCAGACCATTATAAGTCCATATATTGTTAGTAGAGTAATACTAACTATGTTATAAAAATTAAAATAAGCAAAATTATTTAAATTCATAAATCTGCATTGTTTTGAGGCACCAGGGCATGCATATGAACCCAGTGTCTCAAAACAGCGCATTTGGGTTTATTACCTATAAAATAAATCAGTGGCGCTACAACCTACCTGCGAGTACTAACAATATCCTGATGGTTATAGATAATGAGCAGTGTTGGCCTAGTGGCTTCAGCGTGCGACTCTCATACCTGAAGTCGTAGGTACGATACCGGAACCTACGACCTCAGGGATGAGAGTCTGCGTGCGACTTAAAAATAGGTCTTATAAAACACCGTCTTACCCGATACGTAATAGATATTTTATTTTATAAATATTAGGCCCAAAAAGTCGACGGCGTGTATCAGGCACTGGAGGCTGATTACCTACTTGCCTACTTGACATTTAAAAATGATGATGAAACAGATTCAGAAATCTGAGGCCAAGACCTAAAGAGGTTGTAGCGCCACTGATTTTTTAATTTAAGATTTTTTATCACTGATTATAACGTCAACTTAAATCTAGTTTCAAGAGCTGTTCCATTGTGTGAGGCATTCTGTATGAAGTTTGACATATTTGACGGCGCTCGAGACGCGATTGTGACGTTAAAAATTTGTGTTTATGTGAAACCAGACATTATTATATTTTTAATTCGTGTGTAATTCCAAGCGTAACATATTATAAATTTAAAAACACATTAATGCACGACAAAAAGTTAATTAACCAATAAAGATTGACATTTAAAGTGTCATGGCGGCGAATTGACGTTTCGAATTTGTAATCGATTGAAGCGCCAATCTCGGACGCGTTCATTTGGAAATCGAATGTAATAATCGAAAAATAATATCGATTAATGTTTTCATTAAGGGAATTTTGACTCTATTAAAACGGGATGTGGTTGAATTTAGAAAGGTGTTTCTGATGATTCATCCAGTTCCTTTGATGTGATTAAGATCCGGTAGCAATATGCAGTCATTTAGAAAAATATTAACAAAAAATTGATACCGATCGAAATACGATAATGAACGGAAATAAGAGATAACGATCTTTAGGTTCTGATTTTAAATATTTGTACGTCTCACACAAAATACGTGGTTAATTTTATGTAATAGGAGGGAAACGGGCAGGAGGCTCACCTGATGTTAAGTGATACCGCCGCCCATGGACACTCACACTTCTAGGAGGCTCGCAAGTGCGTTGCCGGCCTTTCAAAAATAATAATTAAAGGTTAAGCCTTTTAACGCCGTGCAGTAAGGTTTTTCTATATCCTGAATACTAGGCAAATGAAAACTTCGTGACATAATCAGCATGTCTAAAAGTTTCTTTTTATACAACAGGGGGCAAATGAGCAGGCACCTGACGTTAAGTGA